TTAGACAACCGAACCTCCGCCATTACCACGAAGGCGACGAGTCCTCGCCCCAGAGTTTGGACAACAAGCGACGACCCTGACGCTCGGCGGGGTCATTGGCCCGAGTTTCGGCTTGTTTCCGTCACCTATGCTGGGCTTAACGGACCTTCAGCAGCAGTCGCAATGCTGAGTAACCAGGGTTTGCGATCGAGCCTACAGGTGGCTCCGTTGGCGATACAGAAGACACGAGCCGGGTCATGCGCGGGGTCTCTAGACGTGGTGGACTCGACAAACGGCTGCTCCGATTCGCAGATGACACCGCCAGCGACACCCAATGGCTCGCAGGAGGATTGCAATGCACCCATCGGCAGCCCGGTCTTCCACAACTTCCTGCGGGCGTTTTACCCCTTCCATCCCGACTATGTCACGAGCGACTCGACCGTCACATTACCGCTAAGCGAGGGAGATGTCGTTTTGGTGCACTCCATCCACACCAACGGCTGGGCCGACGGCACCCTGCTGTCAAATGGAGCGAGAGGGTGGCTGCCAACTAACTACTGCGAAGCCTATGATCCCGAGGAAATGAGGAGTCTGTTGAAAGCACTGCTCAACTTTTGGGATTTGATGCGCAGCACCTCCATCAACGACAGCGAGATGTTCTGCAACCAGGAGTTCATGAAGGGGATCATTGCTGGCGTTCGATACCTACTGGTAGGTGGTGGTGCTCCCCAAAAGGCATACCCGCAAGACTTTGTGTGATCTGACTTTGCTGTGCAGGAGCGGACACAATGTTTGACAAGAGAATGCGCCCTAGTTCAAAGACACGAAGGCCTTCGGCGGAGCCGGAAGTCGTTATTGTCAGAGCTTTCGTCGCTGGTCAAGACGGCCAAGCGCTTACAGGACGCGCAGAGAATGATCGGCACCGAGGACATCAATGACATTGTGGACGAGATGATCCTCAAAGCCTTTAGAATTATCACCAAGGGCGTCAAGTTTTTGGAGATTCTGGACGAGGACCGGAAATCACGGCGACCGGCAATCACGGTAATGACAACGCTGCGGGAGGAAGCTCTCGTTCCACTGACGCCGCCAGCCGAGTCGACCTCGTTCAATGCCAGGCGAAATTCCGCCGCTGCAGCCCGGACTAGCGAGTACGGCAAGGTTTCGGGGCCGGCGCACTTCTTGGCTGCAGGCGGCGCGGCACTGGAGCCGGCTTCGTGCAGCAACCGTTTGTCATCCGGCTACGCACACCAGAACACAAATGCCCGCCGATTGTCGCAGAACAGCATGCTACAAACGAACCGATTGTCGTCGACGATTTCGCATCGTGTCAGCTGGTCCGGCCTCTCGTCCTACTCACGACCCCAGAACTTGGTATCGGAGCGGCTCAATACATGCCATGACATCTTCCTCTCGCACCTGGGGTCCTTCATCGGACGGCTGCAACACCAGTCCCAGTCGCGTCCCAGCCTCGCCGTCGCCATAAAGCAGTCCGCCACGTCCGGTGGAGAGTTGCTCTGGGTGGTGGATGTGGTCTGCGCACACACGTCAATAAGCCTCGACGCGCTCGAGCCGGCTCGTGCTGCCATGTACTACCAGATCCAAGACCTCGTGCACACGGCACGCGACATTCTCACCAATTCGGGGCCCGACGTGGAAGAGGACGTAATCGTACCGCACGAAAACGGCCGCTTGCTGGGCGCGGCAACGGGGTGTGTGAAAGCTACGGGAGAGTGTGTTGCAAAGACGAGATGGGTCATCGAGCGGATTGGGGACTTCGAGTTCGAATTCGAGAACGGCAGTCTTGGTATCGACTTTGGCTTGTCCGATCTGGCATCAGTTCCCGAGGAAATGGCCAGTCCCAGTGGCGCCGAGTTCCCGAGTATCGCCCTGTCAACTCTGTCCGATACCCCAACTGCATCGGTAGCGACCTCCGTGGCTAGTTCCGTTGTTGAACACACCCGGTCCCTCTCGATCGACAAACCGCTTCCCGACGTTCCTCAAATCACTTCTCCTGTTTCAGAGGAGCCGGCGTTACACCCACCGCTCCTGGCACCGCATTCCCAATCGTTCCTCCTCGACAGCGGCGATTCGAGTGCCATGTCGTCAGTCTCTTCGCTCCGTCCAGACTTGCCCCCGCTTCCAAAGATATCGACCACATCGTTGCCGACGGAGAGCTACAGCCCCACTGAGCAATCTGCAACACAGGAGAACGAGTTCCGCTCTTTCCGGTCGGAGACCATGACTGCATTGAGCTCCGGCTCCGGTATTACCTACCTCAGCCGCGACTCAGAGTCGAGCTTCATATCCCAAACCTCGACTCGCGCGACGACACCGGATATCACCCAAGTACCAAAGAACCAACCATCGCTGTCAAATTTGAGTGTGACAGAGAGCTTGGCGCGGACAGAGGACGACGAGCTCGAGTCGAAGCTCCTCGAGAAAACTTACGCCCACGAATTGATCTTCAACAAGGAGGGCCAAGTGACCGGCGGCTCGCTGCCCGCTTTGGTGGAGCGCCTCACGACTCACGAGGCCACCCCCGACGCCCTCTTCGTTTCGACCTTTTACCTCACCTTCCGCCTCTTCTGCACCCCAGTCACACTGACTGAAGCACTGATCGACCGGTTCGACTATGTCGGGGAAGCCCCGCATATCGCCGCTCCCGTGCGGTTGAGGGCATACAATGTATTCAAGGGCTGGCTCGAGTCGCACTGGCGGGATGAGACCGACCGCGAGGCACTTGGTTTGATCAAGCAGTTTGCCGAGTACAGACTGGCTGCTGTGCTCCCATCCGCCGGCAAACGCCTTCTTGACCTTGCTGAGAAGGTGTCCGTCATCGATGGCATCCTGGTACCACGCCTTGTCTCTTCCATGGGGAAGACCAATACCGCAACCTCTTCCTACGTCCCCGCCGACACTCCACTCCCCGCCTCTGCCATCACCAGGAGCCAGGTGAATGCGTTGACCAACTGGAAGATCGGCGGCAGCTCACCTTCCATTCTCGACTTTGAACCTCTCGAAATCGCCCGCCAGCTGACGATGAAGCAAATGGCCCTCTTCTGCTCCATCACGCCGGAGGAACTTCTAGGCTCGAAGTGGACCAAGCTCGGGGGCGCTGACACACCAAATGTCAAAGCCATGTCGGCTTTTACTACCGGGCTGACGAATCTCGTTGTCGACACCATCTTGCACTTCGAGGAGGTCAAGAAGCGTGCACTGGTCATCAAACACTGGATCAAGATCGCGAACCAGTGTTCTTTGCTCCACAACTACGATGCCCTCATGGCAATCACCTGCGCGCTCACCGACACCAGCATCAAACGCCTGAAAATGACGTGGGATGTTGTCCCTGCCAAGCGCAAGGAGATGCTCAGGACGCTGCAGGCCGCTGTTGACTTCAACCAGAACTTCAAGGTTCTGCGCACCCAACTCCACGATCAGGTGCCGCCGTGCCTCCCCTTCCTGGGCATGTTCCTGACGGACCTCACCTTTGTGGACGTGGGTAACCCGCCTACCAAGACCAGCGACACGGGGTTGACGGTGATCAACTTTGACAAGCACACTCGCACTGCGAAGAGCATCGGGGAGCTGCAGCGTTTCCAAATCCCCTACCGCCTGACAGATATTCCGGATCTGCAAGAGTGGCTGTCGGCACAAATCGAGCGGGTCCGGGAAAGGGAGAAGACGGGCTGCAATGCCCAGGCGACGCACTACCGGAAGAGTCTCCTTCTCGAACCCCGGGAAGCACAGCAATTGCGGACACCCATTGAAGCACCCACCACCTCCGGGGCAATGGGCAGCAGCATGTTCAGCTGGATGAGGGGCAACAGTGGAGGTCTATCAGCTCAGATCTGATGCCCCGTTGATCTGTCCGACGCCGCCCGAGTCGACAACACCGACCTCGCCTAGCCCTTCCGCATTTCTACTAGCTTTTTATGATACCCATACTTGCATCTTTTACCATTTCAACATTTCTTTTATACGTCCTTACAAGGGCACGGCGGTCATTTGCCCTACGACGAAGCCATAGCCGGCTTCATCCCACCCCCATCGTTACCCACCTCGCCATCTATCGATCAAAAGAGGGCCCCGCCCTTAAACCTTGGATCTACTTCCGAAGAACGCCTGTATCACCACCGACACCAAGATTAAGACTGTACACAAGGCACTCGCGTACTGACGGCTCGCGCCTCACACAACATCCTATCACCCACCCGATTCCACAGGTTCTGGGCTCATTTTTTCACCTCTCGTCTTTTCTCATTCGTCCCGTCAGGATTCTAGAACACGCAGTATGAGATGATGGATTTTGGGTTGGCAAAACAAAAAGTGGGGAAATGGAATTTGGAGGGGCACTCCTTGTCATTCATTGTTCTGTCACCGAAGGAGGAGGTTCCAAGGTGTTGGTACCAGGTGGACTGGACCGGACGACCTGACATGCCATGCCATGACAGTCACGAGGCTTGGATCTGACATGCTTATTGGAGTAGATGTACAGGATTTCTTCTTATCTTAATGGGGGAGTGGCTGGTCTGTCTGTACATACATGCTTGGTATTTCGTGTCTATACCTTTTCTGTGGGTGGAGGGGCGGTTGGCTTTTTGGGAGGGAAGGGGGTTGGGAAAAGGACGAGGCGCATGGGGGATTTCTCGAGAGTGAATGAGGTTCTGGATTTGATCGGTTGGATGTTGGTAGCATAGCGAGCGGTTGACAGTCTTGAGGATGGGACTGCAATGAATTTTTTGACATTGTCATATTGCGTCTGACCGTGATACTGCTGTGGGTGTGCCTAATGATGATGATCCCTGGCTTACTTACCCCTAACTTCTTGTCTTAACAACTTTGACATCAACCCCCCTACGATCTCCCATCGCCAACTGGCAACGCCCCTGCTGTAGTTTTTCATTTACTCCCACTCTTGCTGGCTTCTCTCTCAGTGCAAAGACAGTGCTGGTGTTCAAGGCGGAGGCAAGTAGATATTGTCGTTGCTTCTCAGATCCCTTCACCAATAACTAGATGGGTGCATGGTCTAGTGGTATGATTTTCGCTTCGCATTCACCAGATGCGCCTTTGTGAAAGGTCCCCGGTTCGATCCCGGGTGCATCCACTTTTGCCCGGCCACGAGTCGGTTCCCCCCTTTTACCACTCTTTGCCTCCTTTTTCGATTGCCCCCTTTTTTCATGTTTCCCCAGCTGTCATTAGTCAAATATAGGGTAGGTGGTGGGTGGACGTTGGGGGGTGAAGGAATCAACATTAGCAACTTGATAACAAGCCGAACGCTCACGACACACTCGCTTGGTAATCGACTGCATGTCGATGTGCGGAATAGGTGTCATTGATTTGAAACCAAGAGGCCATATTACACCAAGCTTTGGAGCGACGTGATTGCTAGGGTGTATGATAAGGATGACCACCGGAGCATGTTGGAACTTGGCGCGATTGGGGGTCGAGATGGCAACATGCATAGCCCGGATCCTCCCTCGACACACCAAGCACATATCAACAATAAGTACCCTTCACCATCCGAGGTTCTATAGTTTGACCCAACTTGAACCTGACCCGTCCAGCCCGGCACCACCGCCGTAACGAAGACTCCAACCATGGGGCGCATCGACACGGCCGCCGTCCACCCCAGGACGACAGCAACAGCAACAGTCGACAGACACAGCAGCATCGGCGACTCCGAGTCAGGGGGGAGCAACACCATCAACGACCAGTTCGCCGCAACGCCCGTAAAGACGTGGAAGGGCTATGCCTGGGACACTTGGGAGCCCCCCTCGGACCAGCGCCGGCTCCTCTTCAAGGTGGACGCCCTCATCCTGACTTTTTCCTCCCTCGGCTACTTCCTCAAGAACCTCGACCAGACCAATGTGAATAATGCGTTTTTGAGCGGGATGAAGGAGGATTTGGGTATAGTTGGGAATGAGTTGGTGACTAGTACGTTGTTTTACTTACCTACCTTGTACCTACCTTACTTACCATTGACTAAATCAATCTCCTCCTCTTTCCTCGTTTTAGTAATATGAGTGTGCTGATTTGTATATACCTACTCTAGGTACGTCCATCTGGAAGTGGGTTATGTTATTGGATAGATCCCGTTGAATCTGCTGCTTACCCGTGTCTCGCCGCGCTATGTGATCCCCTCGCTGGAGGTGGGGTGGGGGATTGCTACGATCTGTACCGCGTCGGTGCAGTCTTATAAGGCGCTCTATACGCTGCGGTTTCTGGTAGGGTTCTTTGAGTATGTTTTTGATTATTATCTATCTACCTGTAGTTCTCTGCTAAAGTCTGCTTCTTTACGACTGGCTGGCTGGCTGGCTGACTTGGCTACAGATCCGGATTTTACCCCGGCATTCACTACATACTGGGCTCATGGTATACCCCCCGAGAAATTGGCAAGCGGGCCATGATATTCTGGTTGGCGGGCATTATCGGGCAGCTATTCAGTGGGTTTCTACAGGCGGCCGCGTACACGAATCTGCATGGCGTGTATGGTTACACTGGGTGTAGGTGTTTTTCATTCTGGGTTCCAATGACTGTGCGAGATTGGAGGAGCTGACCGCGTACATACACCCAGGGCGCTGGCTTTTTCTCATCGACGGAATCATCACCCTCCCGCTCGCAGTAGCCGGCTACTTCTTTTTTCCCAACCTACCGCAAGGGGGGCAGAAGACGTGGTGGATAACCGAGGAGGAACACGTCCTTTCGATCAAGAGGATGGAGGCCATTAGGCGTGTCGGCAGGCAGTCGTGGACCAAGGAGAAGATACGGAGAACCCTAATGAGCTGGCACACGTACTTGCTTCGTAAGGTTTCTCCCCGTAATGACCGACCGCGTTTTCTAAATCTGTGAGTGGGAAAGGTTGACTCTTGTGTAGCTATGATCTACGTGCTCTGGAATAACGGCGGCATACAGGCGGCCATGGGGTACTGGCTGAAAAGCTTCAACTCGGATCCGCCTCCGGTACCAGGGACGAGTTTCAGTATCCCGGAAATCAACAACTGTAAGCCGACATAACCCTATTTGGGAGTACCATCTCGAGTTATGGTTACTCGGCTAACAAGGTGTAATACCAGTGCCCTTGCCAACGACCGGTATTTTTGTCGGCATGGCACTTATATGGGGTTGGCTCTCGGACGGGCCTTGCCGGGGTGCTCGATGGCCGTTCATCTACCTCGGTGCCGTTATAACCGTATGTGTCTATCTTAGTTTGTCGTGTCTGAAGCTACCTAACAAGCCATGGATTAGATCGTTTTCAGCATCCTATTGTGGAAGATGCCGCTCTATAACCACATTCACGGTCGCATGGTTGTATTCTGGCTCAGCAACATCGGCGTACGTCTTTCTATCCATTACGTCCTATATTCATCAAACTCATGCTCTGTGGCCAGAATGGCGCCGGCCCCCTCATCCTGAGCTGGATCAACGAGATCTGCTCCGACGACACCGAGAAACGAGCGCTGCTGGTTGCTGCTGGCAATGACTTTGCTTATGTCGTCCAGGCTGTTGTGAGTGCAGACATGCTCCCTCTCGACTAGTAGTTGCTAATGAACCATAATCTAGGCTCCAAACTTTGTGTGGAAGACGACAGATTTCCCGGCGGCAGAGAAGGGCTACAAGTGGTCTATTGTGTTGCAGGTATTGCTTGGTAAATGTTTTCCGTGTACTGGTTGAGGTCACTCATATTTCTAACCAGAACTGTCCCAAACTAGTACTCCTCACTGCCACCACCCAGTTTCCTCTCTGGAGGGACAGACGCAAGGCAGAAAAGAAAGAGACGGGGTTGTTATCCACGTCTGGAACCGAGCCGGATATCCTGCAAGGTCTGCCAGCCGAGCACGCGCAATACGCCCCCACCCCGACAACTCAAATGCTCGGAACATTCCCCAGTTACTAGATTTCCCACGACACCATCAACCTCCTGGTTACTGCACAGGCAGCACAGCCCTTCGATTCGCCACTATCTCGGGATAGCGGGCGTGGATGGTTTGGTCGACGTAGTAGGTGATGCACTGGCGACAGTACTCGGTCGTCCGACCCAGAAGGCCAAGCATGTCGAGAAGGAGGAGGAACTGCATCCACCCGACGATGGGGTGAATCTGGTGTTGGTACGGATCCAACGAGTCCAGGCGGTAGCGAGATACGGCCAGCTGCCAATAGCAGCTGCACGGGATTTGGGTAGCGAGGAACGGGCTCAAGTTCATGACGAATAGCCAAAACACCCAAGTCGATGTCAATCTGTGAAGAAAGGGCTCATTAGCAACCCCCCCGAAAATTGAAAAAAAAAGGCAAGAATGGGGCCGACTTACGGCATGAGAGTGGTAGCCAAAATAGGGCCGTATAATAGTTCCTCGGGGGGTGTCGTGCAGGCACGCCAAATAGCCAAGAAGATCAATGTGCTCCAGGGATAGATATACCCCCCAAACAAGCTCCACCACGACTGGACTATTCTCGGAGGTTGTGAAGGGAGTCTCCAGCTTTGACACCACAAAAACACGATGAACAAAACAGCGCTGCCGAACGCGGCGATGTCAAGCGCGAAGGACCACATCAGCAGCAGGTTGATGGAGCGGTGCGTGCTGCCCGCCACCTGTGACCCGACGAGTGAAAGCGCGATCGAGGCCAGCTGCGTCCAAACCCCTGGGGGTGGTTGCGCCGGGAGGGGGGCCACGAACAGGTCAGGCTCCTTCAATGCCAGCTTGAGCATCTTGATGCCAGCCCCTGGCACGACGGTCAAGTAGAGAACCACGAAATCGACCAGGTACAGCGCCAGGTAGAGGAGGAAAGGCACACTGCCGAGGAGCAGAACATAGGGCGGGTAGTGACTGCGGTGAGGAAGGGAGGCCCTATCAGTACCGGGTACTACTTCACACACAGCGCCCAGGGAAGGGAGGGGCCTCACATACATTGCTGGATTGAGGGTTTCCTCGCGAGGAACCGGAGCAACCCTGACCTGAGGCAGAACCGGAGCTGGGTCGTCGTCGGGGGCATCGTTGTTAGGAGCCTGGATGTGTGGGTCTTCGTCCTCCCGGGCTTCTTCCTCTTCACTCTCGTCAGACTCTTCTGGCTCAACCGTCTCCTCCCGGCCAGAGTCGTGTGGGGCTAAATCTGGGCGTCTGCGCCCTGGCGGTTGCGGAACACGGCGTCTATTCGGTCTCCATGCTGCGCTCGCCGACGAGCTGGCTCGTAGGTTTTCGTCCATGTTTGCAAGGGATATTGGTGGGCTTGATCTTCTCACAAGCACGTGTTGTTAAGGGGAAGTGACCTGGGGGGGTGTTGGAGTTTAAGGGGCTCGATTATGAGGCCGGCTTCTGTGAAAGCATTCTTTGAAGAAGCAAGCTGGTACGGGACGAACAAAGGCAAGACGGTCCGCCGAAGCATTCTCTCTCGCTTTCGAGGACTTCGGATCCGGAAATTCTGAGGTTGGTTGAACAAAGGGACCGAGTTAGATGCATTCATTCAGGAGAAGGCGGGCTCAGAGCAAACAATTGGGGTATCGAGTCTTTTGACCTTGCTCATCAACCAGAAGCTCAGAGACCCCTAACTCGGCGGAGAGGACGTACCATACGTAATTACCTGTACGGATACGATGACGACTAGTTGTCTCCAACTCCTACGGGCCACCCGACACGGCGAATTAACTCCAACAACGCTCGATAAACAACGACCCTTCACTCACATCACAACCACCACAACACCAACCCGGACCATGGCCCGCACCGATGAAGCCCAAGCCTTCTTCCGTATGTCAACCAAACCCAGACTTCCCCCCTCTCGCTTCCCATTTCAAGGCCGTCCCAATCATCCCCCCCCC